AGACCCTTAACCCCACACTGCTTCCTGGGTGCGGCACAATGGCAGCCCACCACCAAATGCAGAGGTAAATTTCTCCAATGTGAGATTAATAAAGTTCAATTATTATTATGATGAAAATCTCAGCTCCATTCAGCACAAATACAATTCGAGGTTTAAGCTCTTTGTGTAATTTGTGACGTGTATGGTATCTATGGGGTTATTTATTTTGATATTTTTGCTTATTTATGATACATTTTGACTTTTTTGTTTAATGCTGTTGTAAGGAGCTGTAGAGTAGAAATTTCATTGCTCAGACTTTTCAGAGCATTCTTAATCATCTGTGCACGCAGCATTGAGGGGGATTCATGTATCAAATAAAGCAGCAGTGAAAACATTATGAATAAACCATCTATTGCTCTTTGCTGAGCCAACGCAGATTCATATGATGTATGGTAGCATTTAATATATCTACTGATTTAAGACTACTAGTTTAAATAAAAATAAAAACCGTGTGCAGATGTATTAAGTTAATAACATCAAGTTGTTTTGAAAGATTTTAAATTATTTTATTACACAATGGAGCACATTTGCATTGATTTAAGGACAAGGCAACTTGATTACATATTGAAAATCAGTTTTTAACGTGTACATTTTATTGGCTGCAACTTTGAAATAATGTTCTGTCAATATCCAACCAAACCGTGGCTGCAGCCATCCCTCCTCTGCATCCTTTAAAGTGAACAACTGACTCTAAAGTCCACTTTTTTAATCTGATTTCAGTTCGGCACCTCCTCTGTCTAGGTTTGTTTGGGAATGGTTAGTGTTATCAGTGGTCGGTTGCCCGGTTAATAAATCACACCATCGGCAGCTCTGCAATCACTGCATGGGGGTGGGGGGTGCGCAGAGGCAGCTGAATGTAGAGTTTGCTGTTCTGCAGGAGAAGGTAAAATCTACAGCAGATTCTTGATCAGGAGGCAAAGGTTTGAACCATCCGGGGAAATTAACACAGACATTTTACTAGAAACTCTTCATGTTGCTGAGTCAGTCTGGTTTCTTCAGTAAAGTAATTACAGTTTCATTTAAAGTGCTGCGTTGAAGCCCCCTTATGAATAACAGTTTGATGATTTTTTTTTTTTTTTAATCCCCTCTCCAGCTCTCAGGATATAAATCATCCCAGTTGGTAAATTAATTCCACAGCGAAACAAGAGACTCATCAAGTTACAGTAACTCTGCACACCGGTTAAGATAGCTAATTTACATTACAGTTATGACAGCAGCCCATAAAGAGAAAAGATGTTTTAGCTGCTGAAGCTGCTGCGACTCTTTAAATGAAAAACAGACCAAACTGATTGGAAAAATATTAGAAAACATATAGCTTGGTCGTAAAAGCAAAAACCAGCTAACTAAAACAGCAGATGTAGCCACAGTCCTACTTCCACAGCATGATGATGCTATTGCTGTGTTTCACAGCTATGTATCATTTGGGGGTGTTTTGCAAAGTACATACATTTTCAAGTCTTGCCACAGATTCTCAACGTTCTGAACCCCAGACTTTGACTGAGCTGTTCTAACAGTGGACTGCTTGGATCCCATGTAGCTCCATCTGTATGCAATATAGCAATACACTTTAAATTACTGCTTATCTGAGGCTTTGTCTACTTTATTAAAAGTTTTTTTCGTCTTCTGTCACAGCATATGCTGCCATATGTTGAGTGATTCTGGTGTTTTGGTCCTATTTGAAGCCCCTTCTTCCAAATGTCTGCTGTGGAACACACCAAAGAAGACCTAAAATTATCGCCTTTCTCCTCTTTTATGAAGACTTTCATTTGTAAAGCTCTACAGCTGATGTTTGTGATGTGAAGAGATTCTTCCACCTGAGCTTTGGATCTGTGCAGCTCATCCAGAGAGTCAGTAGATTATCAGTTGTGCCACAGTTTTTCTACAGGTGGACTCTATGATTGGGATTTTATTCAGGGCTATTAGAGTAAAAAGGGGAGGAAGCAAATGCAAATGAATATATTTTCTGTATTTTATTAGCAAGAAATGTATGTGAATCCTCCTTTTGGAGTTATAAAATGTGATGCTTTTTGCACTATTTAATCTCAGCTGAGTTGGAAAGAAGAAATTATTTAACATCTGTCTCCAAAACGCCTTTGCAGCTCCAACCAACTAGTGAGTTTATATCATTACCCACCAACCTGGGAGAAAAGGACTGAATTTATTACCTACCTACAAAAAAAGCCACTCTGTTGTTCCTTTGGTTGAAGCATGTGGGTGAGTCCAAAAAGGAAGGCTTTCACGGAAAACACACATTTAACGGTACAGAAAATGTTCTGAACCATTTGTGGGTGCCTTAGCAGTTTAGTTGATACAATATATGTCCCTTATATAAAAAAAAAAGAAAAGTGAAAGCACTCAGACTCTAAATGTCATTTTTTTGTGAGTTTGGAGAAAAGGAACAGTTTATGCATGTGTGAGAGAGGCGTGCATCATCATGAAGGGTGACAAAGTGCTTACTGATGTAGCCGAGAAGTCCGGGTAGCATCCAGGGATCACAGCGAGCCTTCAGGCCTCAGAGCTCTGCAGCTGCAACCAATCTGAGCAGCTGGCCGAGGTGTGAGTGCAGTGACTGAGTGGGGCAGTGTGTGTGGTGTGTGTGTGTGTGTCAGTCCCACCGGAGCAGAAACAGGACTTCCATTAGAAACAGGATTCCTGTTTACCAGCTGACCTGAGCTCAAATGTCCTGGAAATACTTGAAAAAAAAGCAAAACCAATGCCTCTGCTGAGATAAAGACCAACTCTACCGATCACTATGCAAGATTTCTGCATTTAGCTCATGACTCAGCAACAATTAACAATGATGTTCATGGTAAATAAGCTGGTTAATGATTCAAAAACAAAGAGAATGAGCAAAAATACCATCCATTAAAGGCTTCCAACTGCTGACCAAAAAGAAAAGCAACAGACCGTCTCACATTGAGCAAAAATCTGATGATTCCCATTTGTTGCAATATTCAAAGGGGGACTGAGGACTTTTTACAAGATAGGAATCACATCTGGTACAAAACAAACACATAAGCAGAAGAACATCACACCTTTAGTCAAACATGGTGTGATGGTCTTGGGCTGCTTTGCTGCTTCAGCTCCTGGATGTCTTGCTATGACAGACAGAGCCATGAGTTCTGCTCTCTACCAGAAAATCCTGAACTTGAAAGTCTGTCCTGACCTCCATCCCAGGGTCAGTAATAACAGCAAGCTAACAGGTTTCTGCTCTGGCTCAAGACTAGCAGCAAACTTTAAATGACTTTCAAAAATATAAGATGAGGTATTTTTGGGTGTTCAGGTATATGCCTGAAATTAAATTCATTTGAGATGTGTGAAGAAAGAAAACCTTCAAACCAAAAACTTGTGTTGCAAGAAACAATTCATTCTGCAGTTTCATCAGAGCTGACTTGTACAGGTCTAGTATCAGCTGAAATCTTTACAGACCCCACACATCCTGGACATAAACTGTTCAGACTCTTACCAACAAGTTGGGGCTACAGAGCCATAGCTTGTTCCCCCCTGGCTGTCTCTTTGATTAACAGTGTCTCTGTGAATCCAACCATCTCTTCCTATTTTGTGAAAACACCGTGTTGTCAGTCCTGGATTCTCATTCGGCACCTCAACGTATCTCTGATCTCCTGGCTCTGGCAACCGACCACGGCGGCAACATCAGCTTTGGGTTTGCTCTCTGGATACATCGGCATCTGGGATTCTCTGTGTGGCGTCTGCCGTGCCGCGTTGGCAGCCAGCCAACTAAAACAATGCTCTATCTCTGGATTCGGACTGAACTGTAAGGCTAGTTACTCATTCCTTCGTGATCATTCGCTCCCAGATAGACCTGGTACCCATAGAGATTCCTGCCATATATGCCGATGCAACTTACGCCGATTCTGTTTTCAATAAACTTTCTGAGAAATCTGTTTTGCCCACCTTGAATACTGGATCCTTCAGTTCTGAGCTTCACACTGTGTATGAAGAAATTGCTTTATATTCCTCCTATATTCCATTTTTTTTCCTTTTATATTAAAGGGTAGATTAGACTTCTGCAACCGCATACATCAAATGTCGCTTGGGTCTGGTCTCGAACCAGTTTTGCTCGTATGCTTCTGCACCGTCGGTCTAAAACTTCTAAGGACGCACAGCAGTTTCCTGCCAAAGCGCAAGGGGGGCCTATTGGAGAACTCGTGAGAACTTCGGCAGATGGTCACGAGAATTTTGTTTTGGCAGAGACCTTGGCATCTTTATATAATTTGTGCGAGGCATCTTACATGTGGTTGTACTTCCGAACCTCCTCGATTAACCTTTTGTCATAGTTGTCCATTGTAGTTCTTCCTCGATTTTTAAAGATGGCGCACCCCAGCACCGAATCAAGAAGAAGGAACACACAGACAGCAGGAAAGGCATACCAAGGACCAATCACAGCTGCTTTTTGTCTGCACACTTCCCCTTAAGGTCTGCGCAGGTTTGCGACCGTCCGACGCGTAGTCAGGATTTTTTTTGAGGTGCGCAACGATGGTTCCAGAAGCTCTGCGCGGGGGGCGAGGTCGCGCACATAGAAAGATTTGACGGTTGCACGGAAGCATAAATTGGCCTTAGCACTGCTTCCAGACTGAGCAAAGTGGCACCAAATTTAAATTCCTGTTTTGTGCAAAAACTTGGTCAATAAAGTTTCTTAAAGGTTCAGAACAGCCGAGTGGATGTTAACCACTAATAACCTGTATAATAAAACACTTTATGGTGTCTTTTTCCCCAAGGGAGAAAAAAATCTATTTTTAATTTAAACATTATTTCATTAGTTCTAATGGCTTTCCCCCCCTTATTAAATAATCTACATTTTAAACTCAGCTTTTGTTTGATAGCAATGTTAGTTTGAGCCAAAGTCCTCTCTAAAGATTAGTCTTTGTGCAATTTCTATCAAAATAAGAGAAAGAAAAACATATAACAGGGTATTTTTAACAGAATGTTTAATTTTCAAAAACATACAGCTTCATTTACATAATAATTTTCAGGCTTCTCTAAATTAGCATCCCATAAAGCTTCCAGTTAAATTCAAAGCTAAATGCGCTCCTCTCCGCAGCAGCTTTTGACACATTAATACAAAATAAATGAAACTTATCAATGAAGATGTAATAAAAGCCAGTGTTTCTGCAACAACACAGAGTTTGGTATTGATATGCTTTACTGTACAGCTGTTAGCTTTACAATAAGGACCACAGTCTCTGCTCACACACATCAGCAGCTTAATTAATGACCCAGGAAGATCATCAACCTTTGTCTCTGTCCCAGTAGCTTCATAACAATAAATAATACCCTGTATTCATCCATGTGAGGAGAAGCAAAACAAAAAAAACAAGCACACAACAATCAGTCTCTCAGATTAAAAACACCTTCCCTAAAGGAAAACTGGAGCTTTTCACCACTAATGGACCAATAGAGGACATTCTTTATGGGCCAATATTCAATGGGCAGCTGTAATGTGCCATTAAAGCACAAAATGGGCGGCTTGCTGTCAAAAGTCTGACATAATGAATAAAGGTTGGATAGAAGGAACCTCCGCAGGGAGCCTCCAGGAAACATGTTGAATGTAGAGTAAGAGAAATGCAAAAAGTCACAGCAGCCTGACCAGCAGCTCACTCATGATAACAGGTTATATACAACATTATCCGTACATTTAAACAGAAATACATCACGCTGTTTCACTAATGGAGAGAAGGCCATCACGTTGACGATTAAACCTCACTTAAAGATTACTGCAGCCGTCTGCTCACGCTCGAACCCTTCAAACAGGAACTCCAAGCCAGCAGCTCTGTCAGCTGGTGAAACGCTTGCATGGATTCAAGGTGGGAAGGTTATCACAGCACAGCTGAGACACAAACACAGCCTCACGCTGCTGTGTAAACAAAACAAAAAAAAATATGAAAGCCACTAAACTTCTCCACATTTTGTCACGCTACAGCTTCAAACTTCATTATGTTTTAGTGTGAGACGGAGGAAAAGGATGGCAGGTTTTGGGGTTCAGCCCTAAAGAGGCTGTTATGTCTCCATCTGTAGTATGACATGAGCTCAGAATCAGCAGCAATGAACAGAGAGCATCTGTGAACTCCAATCTTCAAATTAAAAAGGAGATCACACAGCATGATGCTGCCATACCGTTTCTAAAGGTGATTAAGGAGGCTGTGCAGCGCTGTGTTCATCTTTATATGGGATATTCACCTACCTTTCTTTTTCAAAAAATATACAAAAATTATCCCATAGTGATTAAAAATGGTATTAAGGGCTAACAGCTGATGGAACATTTTACAGAAGAAAAAAAAAATAAGCCCAGAGATCAGATGGTGTCAAATCTGGAAGAAAGAGGCTATTTTCTCCTCATCAGCAAAGAATGTTCCCAAAATGCTCTGGAATCTCCGTTATTTAGGGATAAAAGAAGTTTAGAAGAACCAGGGAATGAGGTCCTTAGCTGGAGACTGAAGAAGCCGATGGCTGGAGCTCATTTTTAGGTGTTAACACTCCACTGATCAGCTACCAGCTTTACACATCCACAGACCTTTTCCAGGTTATCAGACCAGAAGAAACCAAGGAATTCCTGAGCTGTGCCTCAAACATCCCCTCTGCAGAAAAACAGCTTCCCTATAATGATGCATGGCGGTGGCAGGGTCATACTGCCACATTAGTAGGAACTGTCTGCATGGAACATTTAAGTGGATGCAGTGCTGGCAAGATTAGCAGTTTATTTAGCCTATTATATAAAGGAAAAATTGTTTGGACCTCAGACAATAGACAAGGATTCATCTTTAAGGAGACAAATAACCAAACCCCAAAGCCGAAGAAATAGAGATGTAGCTTCAGAAGACAGAGGGAGAAGATATTTCAGTAAAGGCAAACGGTCCAACCTGAACCAAGCAGAACTGAAGCTGTAATTGGTTCAAAAAGCGGAAAAGGGAATGAATACATTAAACATCTGAGAAATATAAGGTTTCCAGTGTGTAGACGTGTAAGAAGAAAAGCAACAGTAGAATAAAACTGTAGTATGACAAAATGTGGAGAAGAGGTGTGAATACTTTCTGCTGGTACTGTACACCTAAATAAATAAAACATTTAAAACCATAACCTACAGAAAGTACCCAGGGGTCCACCTGTGAGGATAAGTGGGAGACTTTAAGTGGTGTGAAAACTTAATCAGAGCTGTCATTAACTCTTGGAGAAGCCAGTGCTTCAGGCGCCTCGGTGTCACTAGATATCAGGAGCTCGTCAGCGGCTGATTGGTCCTCAGGTGGTCTTCCTGTAAACACACAAAGTGCTTCATTAAGTCTGATTGTTCTTCGTGCTGTTCCGGCTATAAGGGCGTCAATACTTTTACTTTGGCATATGGCAAACCCACAGATCTTTTATTGACTAAATCTTCAGCTCAAAACAAAGCAAAAGCTGTCGTCGGCTGGCTGCTGGTGAGACACAAACGAGGTAGAGTCGTTATGTTGTCAAAACCTCCACCTGGTTTTGCTCGCAGGGTAAATTGGCTTCGTTACGGATAACAGCCGCTCTCACTAATGAAGTGGAGTGATGGACGGAAAGTTTGCACAACCAGACTGTTTTCTCTAATTTTAGGTGTAAATTTCTCAATTGTTTGAGGTGATTTTAGGGCACTGGAAGGAAGGTTTACGCTATAAAAACGCTAATGTTCAGTGCACAATTACACAAAATGATCATCTAATCAAATCATTTTCTTCCTGTGTGATGAACCGTCAGCTCTGAATAAAACCCTGCAGGGAACACAGCTCTGCTGCAAAAACAGCCTCATATATAAAGAAGGAAGAGAAGTTTATGAAAACATTAAGGAATTAAGACAGCTGCAGCTCAAAGGAGTCTTTATTGTGTTTAGTATCACTATGCTGCCACCAGTGCAGAGCTTACTCCAGCAGGACAGCAGGTCTGTTAGGGTTTATCTGTGCACAATACCAGGTGATGACTTTAGGACCGCAGTCTGGTGAAAAGATGGCCGAAAGTCTCTTCTTTCAAAGAAATACATCAGCAGTAGATGGAAACTAGAGGACAGAAGCAAAGCTACTTTTCTTGTAGTCTGGGTCTTTAGGGAAGATCCTGATTTTATATCCCAGGATACAGCTTTGAACATAGTGTGGGATCATCCTCCTTTAGAAACTTCTAAAAGTCTGGGAGTAACTAGTGATGATCTTTAGATTCTCCTGCAATATAGAGTGCCGCATCACAGAGCAAATATGGCTGAAAGGTCAGAGAAATAAAATGTTGGCACACAGAGACTCCTCAGCTGCTCTGGGAATCTATGTTCTTTTTTGATAGAAGTGTCAAAATCCCAACCAAGGATCAGCTGGAGCCACAGAATATTTTGTCAGGTCTTAATCTTTCCCCCATGACGGAAAATTCAGTTCCAGTTCCTAAGAGACCCATTCATTTAGCCTTTGTTAGTAAAGTTTAGGATGGACATGTTTTCTCTGAGCTACTGTAAATTAACGGGTTTCTTTGGGAAAAGAGGAGCTTGTTAAAAACAGATCACTGAGGTTCTCTGAAAGCCTCTCGTCTCATGAGGAACCGAATTAATCCCACAGGTGTGAAACCAAACAAGACAATTGTCATCTGTAATTAACAGCAGCTGGGCTTCCAAATAAAGCTGCTGCATTCGCCTATCTGACAGTTCATATTTTCTCATCATAAACCTAAATGTGCTGCAAAGCTGATAAGTTATTAGGGAATCAGTGGAAAGGTATAAATAATTTGTTTTACAATGCAGCTACATAAACTTCACACAGAGTAGCTCAATATGAAAGGGAAGGAATCCTTTAACAAAAAGCAGAATCAGTTGGTTTAGATATTCAGCCGCTCTGAAGCAATACCCCGTTTAGCCTTTTATAGCAATTCTAATTGCAGGTTTTTAAGGATTTGTCTTTACCAGCTTTGCATATCTATGGGATAAAACTCTGCCTATTATCAAATTAGCTCCACCTCACTCAGATTGGATGGAGAGGAACGGTGAACATTAATGTTTTATTCTAACGGATGAATCCGCTTTATTCTAAACCATCCCACTGCAGTTCTGGGTGAATGCTGGAAGTTGCTTCGGTCTCAAATCTTTCACAGACTCTAAGAGTTTCCTTCCAGGACTGCTCAGCATTCAGCTCCATCGATTTTGACCACCTCCTCAAAGGCCATGATGCTGCCACTACCATGCTTCATCAAGGTGGATGTTTGCTGCAAAACCTCAAAGGGTTTAATTTTGTCTCATAGTGGGGTTCTAAGGGGTTTGTAGGCTCAGAAAATCTATTCTCGCTCTAATCTACTATTTGTGGAGTTCATGACCAACAGATGTCATGTCAACCTGAGCTGTGGGTCTGCAACTCCTCCAGAGACACCATAGGGTTCTACTTTGTTATCAGATTATTGAAAAACATAGAGTTCTGTGAGGTGTTCAAAGTACCTTATAGCCAAACTCTTTTCAAAGTGTTCTGTTTCGTCCCTGAACTGCTACGTTCTTTGGTTTTCATGACACTGTGTCTTTTCAAATGTTCCAGAAAAACATCTGACGTCTTCATAGAACAGACACGTTTGTAAAAAGTTCTCTGCACCATATAGTGTTAATTTTGTAACATAAAAATCCCCAAACAGGGTTGTTAACGTTTCATATAGAGTGAATTTATATTCCAAGGAGTAGAAAAAGAAATCTTCTAGAAGTGCAGTGACAAAACATTTTAGAAAATCATGAACCAAACAGAAAATTTGACTGGATCTGTGTATTTTAGAGGAAACTGGATATGACGTAGCTCTTTCCTCTGAATTACCTGTTTTGATGTGGTCCGTACGTGTCCAACATGACGGTGCTGGCCTGCTCCAGGTTCCACTGGTGGCGCTGCAGCAGCTCCTCGCACTCTGCTCTCGATCTCAGCCCCAGACGAAACAGCTGCTCCACCTGCAGCCCAGATGGGGAAAGGAATTTCACACAGGTAGGAAAAGTTCCTCAGGTGCTGGACTAACGGGTTTCTGGCCAACCGGGAAACGTCTTTATTAACGTGCAGAACTCATTCCTGAATGCATAGAGAGATCTATAACCACTGTCAGTAGTTTGACCTGGTTACATACAGCTTTAAAACAAGCCGCTGGAACTTTCTGGAACAGCTTGGAGGAGAGCCAGGGAACGCAGCAGGTAATTCTGAGGTTTTTATGAGCCAGTCAGAGGGAGGTAGTTTGGGATCACACCTAAAGTGGCAGACAGGCTCCAAGGATCTCCAGGAAGGAGGAGCAGGAGGTGTCAACAGTAACTGAGCTCCAGTATTAAGCCAAATCCATGGCAGGGTTAGTGAGTACTGAGACTTGTTCATCTATTAAATGAAGAGCCTAAACATTTACAGTGGCCAGGAAAGGTTTTAATAAATGATTATTAAAAAAAACGTCCTGCATCCTTAACGTGACATGTATCATGTATAATTCAGCAGAAAAACAAACATGTTTAGAGGTTAGATGTATGAATAATATAAAGGTGTGAGAATCAGGTAGCACAGGAGTTCAAACCTTGGAACTAATACTTAGACAGAGTTTTATCATTTAGTAGAAGAGTTTTTCACACATCTTCTTATGAAAGCACCCCTCCCTCCCTCCTTCTTTACAAAAGTTCTATCACAACATATTAGATTCTGAGGGCAAGTTTGGGTTGCATCCCTCTACAGAGTGGGCTATATTATCATTAAATTCATGGAAATATGTGGAAATGAACGCTTAATTTAATATGACATTAAAAATATCCCCATCAGCATCCAGCATGTGTGCAGTATCTGCCCAAATATTTTCTTTTAGTTGGGATAACTAGGATCATAAATAGTTTGAAAGAAATATGTTTGTTTTCTACTTCCAAACTCAGCATCTCTTCATCCATGCCTGCGATAAGAAGTCCTTTCTGTCATATTTAGCTGTAGCCTTTAGAGAAGCTAATTGAAAACGTTCAGTTGCTCGTGTTGAAGCCAATTTGTTTGTTGACTTAATTGCATGTCTGTTTCCTATATGATGCTTAAAAAGCAAAAATCCTTCATATGTCTGCTAGGAATCCCTCGATTGGAAGAAATCGGCCTAAACCATGATGCTGTCACCACCGTGGTTCCCATCGGGTGTAAAGTGTTAAGGCATTGATATCTATTCAGTTCAATTCAGTTTATTCCTATAGCGCCAATTCACAACACATGTCATCTCAAGGCACTTTACAGTTTAACCAGATCATCCAGTCAAATTGATTCAAAGTTTTCTATCTAATGAAAACCAGTTGATTGCATTGTATCATTGACTCGAATACAATCCCTCACACTAAGCATGCTTGTAGCGACAGTGGAGAGGAAAAACTCCCTTTTAA